TCCAGGCCCCATGCCCAATCCTGCCTGGGGAAGTCTGGGGAAACAACAAGCTGGGGCAGAAGCTGATAAGGAGCAGCCTCCCACACTCCCCATCTGCCTTTCCCTCACTCCCCTCGGATGTGGCCAGGGCAGGAAGCAGTGCCCAGCAGAGGTAGGGCAGCCTTGGTGCATCTGCAGCAGGACCCGAACCTGCCAGAAGCCCCATTAGTGCCTGCATCAACCCCCCACACCCCACTACCAGTGCCTCACAGCCTCCAGCAGAACATTTCAGAGCTACCTCCTCTCCTTTAGGATTTTACCCCAGCACCCCTTGCCAAACCCTTGCTCCCATGGCATGTCCATTTTGCTGGATCCAGAACCCCAAACCCGAGCACAGGGGGCCAGTGGGGACAGTCCCTGGGCTCAGAATTTCTCTTCTGCAGGACCTGCTGTCCCCACATGCATCCTCCTGCAGAGGCTGGCCACGATGGGGGGGAAATGGCAAGTGGGGACCCTCCGCCCCCACATGAACCTCTTCCTAGAGGAACCCACTGGTGTGTTCTGGCACAGCGGGGGTTCCCTTTCTCTCCTGTGGCTGCAAAGTGGCCCCTTGTAAATATTTGATTCCCTCTAAGTGCTGTGCCCAGCTGAGGCAGTTCTGCACAGGGGGATCCCAGCTGCTCAGCCCCTGAGCCAAACTCAGAGCCCTCCAAGCCCCTGGGGTCCCTGTCTAAGCTGCAGTGGGCAGTGGATGAGGGTCCAGGTTGTGGTTGTGTCAGGGCAGGAGGTGAAGGGAGGGCAGGGAGGGGATGTAGGTAATGGTGAAATTTGGAGCTTCTGGGGTTGCTGCCTCCTTGTCTGGCCAAGGTACCACTGCAGGGAGGAACCCCCCTCCACTGGACACTGTAGGGAGGGGTCATGCCCTGCCACAGTGAGCCAGGGAGCATCCTGAGGCTGTGAATACCCAGGTAATAGGTACAGCAGGGCAGCATCACCCCATGGGCTCTTGAGCCCCAGTGAGCAGAGGGAGCACCCTGGGACAAGGGGAACATGTCTGGGGACAGCACCCTGACAGTGTGGGCAGGTGCATGGCAAGGGACAGCTGGAGTGGGACTGGCGCACCAGGTACTTTGTGTGGTATCACTGTGCTGCAGGGGTGACTTTGTCACCTCTCAGAGGATGTGGGAAAGGCTGGTGACTCCTCAGGGTCTTAGAACATCATGCTGAGGCCTCACCACATGTCTGCAGGGCCGACGCCTCTGGGGCTGATGTAGTCCCTCAGGGACCAGTGAGAACAAACAGCAGCAAGTTTTCACTCTTGGCTCATGGAAAAAGCCAGGCCCACCCTCACAGTGATTCACCACCATGCTCTGCCAGCCCCCCACACAAGGACAGATGGGGATGAGCCACCACCACCACCACCACCACCACCATCCCTGGCCCTGCTCCCCTGGGCTGCAGGTCCTGTGACAGGGCACGGGCAGGGCGCTGCTGCACTGGGTAGGTGCTGGCACCCTCACCCCGTGTGTCGCCGGGATGAGGCCCAAGAGGATGTTGCAATGCCTGGCCCCATCCCAGCCTGGCCAGGCTGTGGGATCAGTGCATGCCTCGGGTGTGTGCAGCAGCTCGCAGCCCTGTGGCCTCCCTTGCACCAGGGGTCAGAGAGGGGTTGGTGCTGAGGGGTGTCTGGGTGAGGGACACAGCATGGGGACCCAGAGCCAGGCCATTGATGGGTTGGCAGTGATCAGAGTTGGTGTGAGGTTTAACTTGGGGACAGAAGACAGGTGGCAGTGCCACCCTGTACAGTGGAGGGACCCCACAGTGGGGGCTTTGCAGGGGTGGCAGGTTGGGGTAAGGCATTCCACTACTACTAGGCATTCTACTGGGGCCACTGGGCTGAGGACCATGTCAGCTAGGAGGGTGAGCTGGGGCAAGTGAGGTGGCAGGAACATTCACAGCCTGGAGAAATGGGTCCCAGGAGGAGAGGAGGGGTCTGGTCTCTGCCAGGGTCTGTGTCCCCAGGTTGTCCAGTCCCCACTGTTGCCATGTCTCTGTCCTGGCCCACATCATCCCATTTGCAGCCTAGACTAACTTGCAATGGAGGGCCACGTAGGAGCCTTGTGGGTCCCTTCCAATTCAGGATATCCCATGATTCTATGATTTCCAGATGCTTCCCTGCCCAAGCAAGGCAGAGTGGCACTGACCAGGCTGTCCACAGCCATCCCTGTCGCAGCCACTGTCCTGATGACAAACCCACAGCTCCCACTGTGAGGGGTGCCGGGAGGGCAGAGCAGGTCTGTCACCCACACTGGCTGTGGTTTGGCAGTGGTGCCGGGGTTGCAGCAGAGTTTCAAACCTGGGGTACCTCAAACGTGGGGTACCTCATGTTTCCCCAGAACACTGGAGGAATGGAGCATCTTCACAATGGGCCAGGGGTTTACGCTCAGGGATAGGTAGAGCGTCAGGATCATGCCCTGGTGCAGCCACTCCGCCTGCATCCTTCAGAGTGTGATGGCCCAGGCATCTCTGGCTGTGTCTCCCTGGGGCAGGAGGGAGCCAGGCTGTCAATGCTGTTTTTCCCAGCACTCTCTGCAGGGATTCAGCCTCATGGCTGCAGCCCCACATGGCTCATGGCTGGGGATGGTTAATGCCAGCAGCTGCGGGGCTGCAGGCCTTGGCACCCACTGCAGCTGTGCCTGGGGCCAGCATGAGCCAGGTCCTGCCCTGGTGCCCCCCTCCATGGGCTGGGGTTCCACCATGGTGTCCCTCTCCACAGCCCCTGGAGGACTCTGTATCTGCAGGTTCAGGATGGATGATGGGTGGGCTTGGCAATGGAGAACAGCCTTAAATTCCCTCTGTTCCTCCTGCAGGGCAAGGCAGGACTGCTGCTGGCAGCGGCAGGGGACTCCAGCCATGGAGCAGAGCCAGGAGGGTGCCTGAAGCTGCTGGAAGGAGCAGGAGGGAGTGCAGGACATGGAGCCCCCGAACAGCAGCATGGCCGGGCAGGCAGACTCATGTTTTGGGGTTTTCAATGCCAGTGATGGCCGTGCCAGTGCACAGAACAGCATCGCCTCACCCTGGTTCTCCACGGCCTTCGGCCTCATCGGCCTCTGTTCCAACCTCTTTGCCCTCTGTGTCCTGGTCAGCTCTTCCCGCAAGCTCTCCAGCCAGGCCCGCTCCTCCTTCCTCATCTTCCTCTGTGGGCTGGTGGTCACAGACTTCATGGGGCTGCTGGTGACGGCCTCGGTCATCATCCCCTACCACTTCACCAAGTTCTCCTGGGCTGAGGTGGACCCTGGCTGCCACCTCTGCAACTTCCTTGGATTCTCCATGGTCTTCTTTGGGCAGTGTCCGCTGCTGCTGGGGGCCACCATGGCTGGGGAGAGGTTCTTGGGCATCAACCGCCCCTTCTCCCGCTCCACCAGCCTCTCCAAGCGCCGTGCTTGGGCCATTGTGGGGCTGGTGTGGGGCTTCTCCTGCTTGCTGGGACTGCTGCCGGTGTTTGGGCTGGGGCGGTACACGCTGCAGTTCCCTGGCTCCTGGTGCTTCCTCACCCTCTTGCCTGACACAGGCGATGTTGTCTTCTGCCTGCTCTTTGCACTGCTGGGCATCCTCTCCGTGCTGCTCTCCTTCATCCTCAACACCGTCAGTGTGGTCACGCTCTGCCGCGTCTACCACGACCGCGAGTCAGTGAAGCGGCGCCGTGACAGTGAGGTGGAGATGATGGTGCAGCTCGTGGGCATCATGATTATCGCCACCATCTGCTGGATGCCTCTCCTGGTGAGGCCCCTGTCCTGGTGTGCCCCATCACCACCCCTCCAGGTCCCTCCTGGGCCTTCATGTCCCCCCATTCCTCCTTGTGGGGGTCTCCATGTAACCTGTTCCTCCTTGTGGGGCCTCAGTCTTGGTGTGTTCCCCCCAGGTCCCTCCATGTGCCTCCTGGGGCTTAGTGTCCCACATCCTTGACAGCAAGGTCCCAGCTTTCACTGTGTCCCTTCCATGTCCCTATTAGTGAGGTCCCAGGTCTGGGGGTGTCCCCTTGATAAGACCTTCCCTGCCAGTATCCCCCTGTCACATCTCTAGACCCTGAGCTGGCCCCTGGTGACAGGCAGAGCAGGTGCTTCCCAGTGCCCCAAACTAGGCCAGGACTCCTCCAAGAGGCTCAGTGCCTCGACCTTCATCACTCCTGGAGCAGCTCATGGATCCTCCACTGACACTTTGCCTCCTTCTGCCCCCAGATCTTCATTGTCCAGATGGTCCTGCAGCACCTGCCTGGCCAGGCACAGGTGCTGCCCACGGACACACAGGAGATGCTGCTGATCTACGTCCGCATGGTCACCTGGAACCAGATCCTGGACCCCTGGGTCTACATCCTGTTCCGCCGGGCTGTGCTGCAGCGCGTGTATCCCCGGCTGCACCCCCGGCCCTCCATCGTGTCCCTCACCCCCTCCCTGCCCCGCAAACTCACCGCTGGCTCTGTCCTGCAGTAGCAGCCCTGGGGATGGGCACTGGGCAGGGGGACACGGCCATCCCCCCATCCCACCCCTGCAGTGGATCCTCATCACCTGCATCCAGGGGCCTCCCCCTCCTCAAGCCTGATATCCAAGGGGCTGTCAGGGGGCACAGGGCTGCTTCCCCCTCCCCGTCCCCAATAAAACACAGCTCGTGCAGCTCTTGGTGCCCACTGGGAGTGACCACCTCGAGGGGGGCCCAGGGAGGGTACCTGGGGGGAACTCACCCTGCTGACAATCAGAGCAACAGCCCTTCTCCTTCAGTCTCTCCTTTAATGAGCCACAGCCACTGTCCACCACATTAGTGGGGGTGTGCAAGGGGGATCCTCAGGAAGGTGCTTGGGTTGGGTGCCTTCTGCCCCCCAACCCAAGGGACAGATCTAGGTGCTGCTCAGGAGGGTGTGGGGGGCAGGATGGGAACCCCCACCAGCACCTCAGCCCCATATGGGGTGGGGATGAGGTGGGGACATGGGGAGGGGACAAAAGCGAGGGGCAACACCTGGCCCCCAGCTACTCCTTATTCCCCTTAGCGTGGCAGACGGCTGCCCACACCTCGGCCACAAACTCCTGGGGGAAGGCAAACTCTCCCAACACCGAGTCCAGCCCTTGGGCAAGCTGGGCTACGCTGGGGCTGCCCTTGGCCGCCTCCACCATCGTCGAGGCTGTTAGGAGAAGAGGGAGATCAGGGCCAGTGTGAGGGGCTGGGACAGGAGCAGGGGAAGAGGCGGGGGCTGGGTCGGGAGGAGCTGCATCAGAGCAGGGGCTGGGGAAGGGGCAGGGTTGGGGTAGGGGTGAGGGTGAGGACAGGGGCAGGTCAGGGGTAGGGGCAGCTCCGGGTCAGGGTCTAGGCTCCCTCCTCACCCAGCTCGCTGTCGCGGATGCCCATGTAACTCTCCAGCAGATCGTCCACTCGCCGGGCAGCTTCTTCCTCGGAGGGGCTGGGCTGGGGGCGAGGGGCAGGGGGGGTGAGTGCCGGGCAGCACAGGGGGCACCCAGGGGCACAGGGATGCTTATCCCCACCCTGGCAAAGTGTGAGCAGCCACAGGCTCGGGGTGGGGAGCTCGGGGTGGGCATTACCTCCTCTTCCAGCACGGCCGGGCCCTGAGTCCGCAGCCGCAGCGTTTCCTTCCCGCTGGCCACTACTCTGCCTTCGCCTGGGGATTTTCCTGTCCGTGTCCGCTGCCCGATCATGTCTGTGCCCAGGTTGGGGGATGAGGGCACAGGCAGGACCTGGCACCCCCAGCCCCTCGCTGCTCACTGTCCGGCCATCCCCCACCCGCCCAGGGGCACCGCAGGGTGAGCCGTGTATGGGATGGGGGGGCTGTGTCAGGAGCATCCGGGGGTGCCGGGTGGGGATGCTCGTGGTTATGGGGTGCTCACGGATGCTCGAGACAATGCACACAGAGCAAGGGGGTAAGGGGGTGCCCCAGGGCTGTGGGGTACACACACACACATAGTGGGGGTGCAGAGGGGTAAACACATGGGGCAGAACCCTGGGAGGCACTTGGTCACTGGGGCGGGGGTGGGGCTGCAGGGCCACAGGGGGCTGGGGATGATCCCAGGGTCCCCAGGGCAAGAGCAGGGGGACCTTCCCAACTCACCGAAGGCCTTTTTGGGCTGGACCAGGCGCAGGGTGAAGGGCTGAGCCCGCGGCAGCTCCCGCAGCATCCGGGCCACCTCGTAGTGCCGGCAGCCCACGATGGTGTGGTCGTTGATGGCCTCGATGCTGTCCCCCACACACACTGTCTGCAGCCGGTTGATGATGCTCCCCTCCTTGATCCTCTGGGGACCAGGTGGGACAGGCACACAGTGATGGCACAATGGGACAGTCAGACACAGCCCCCATCTCGACCCACACACAACCACGTCAGGGGTCCCATGCCCTTTGGTAGCCAGGTCAGGCAGGGAAGCTCTCCCAAACCTCCCCATGGCAGGGAAGACCCCCAGGGCCAGGGTGGACCCAGGGAAGGGCTGAAGTGGGGAGTCAGGGAGGAGCCTGGTCCCAGGGAGGGGATGCACAGGGGATGTCACCTGCAGGGCCACAGTCCCCAGGGCTGTGCCAGCCCCAGCACGGTCCTGGGGGTTCACCTTGATGAAGGCGTAGCCGGCCCCGTTGTCTGTGATGGTGAGGCCAAGCGCGTCCTCTGTCTTGGTCACCTCCACCTCCTTGGTCTCGCCCCGGACGTGGGCAAAGATGAAATCCTCCAGGCCAATCTGTCCCCCCAGCAGCTTCTGCATGTCCACTTTGTGCGTGTTGAGCGTGCAGAAGAGGATCTGCCCCGAGGAACCCCGTCAGCAGGGACTGGGGATGCTCCAGTAGGGCAAGACGTGTCAGAGGAGCCACGGCCAGTTCAGGGGGATTCGGTCAGGTCTGGGCACTGCTAGAACAGAGGGGCCCAGGGACCCCCAGCCTGCCTGGGGACCCTGCAATGCCCCATCCCTGTGCACCTTCCCACAGCTCCAGGCAGCTGGAATCAGCCAGGGAACTGGAAGCCACGGCTCCCTACCACATACTGGGGCGGGGGGGGGGGGGGGGGGA